CCCCCCCCCCCCCCCCCCCGCCATGTTGCTCCGCACGCTGACGTGTCAGAGCTACACTGTAAACAGAGCAGACCCGCTACAACTCTCCTGCATCCCTCGTGACGAGACGAGAAATAAAAAATATCGATTTGATGACAAAAAAAAGCAGTTAATTCTGCAAGCCCCCGCACCGCGACGTGCTTCCGACGTCGCGCGCGTGCAAGAATACTTCCACGGCATTCACGCCACGGCGACCCAGGTGAATCTCGGTTGACTGACAACTTGGCCAATCTGTATGCCTTTGCTCGCCACTTTAAATGCACGCGGGTTGGCTTGAGTGAACGAAGTACACCCTTAAAATTGCTGTAAATACTGTGAATCAGACACACACCGTACACCCGGCCCGATGCCCTGAATACCTCTCCTCTCCTTTAATGCGCGATAATACGGCCTGCAGACAAACCAGGTGCCCCGGAAACCGCCTTATCGTCGCATGCAAACGAAAGCCGACGATGTTCGTTCGTCGTTAAAAAGCAAGACTTAAAAACCGGAAGCGCAAGTGGCGCCAATCCCCCCCCCCCCCCGTCGTCTCTGCTTGCATCAATTTAGCATTGTACACGTCGAAGTAAGCGGGCCCGCCACACCCACACCTCCACACCGACCTCGATTTTCGATATATACCTAAAACAAGACTGACTATATGTAGCGTGCTGAAGAACATACCGTCATAAACCGCGAACCACACCACCTACAACCGCCCGAACAAAAAAAAATGTTGGGTGCACGCACACTAATGGCCTCTCTCATCAAGTCCAAACACAAAACTTCGCGCTCCGCATCGCTACGCAACAAACTGCGAGCATCCACCGACAGCAGAGGAGCTCCTGTTTCCTCTTCCGTGCCTTTCTCAAAAGACACACGCGTGATCCGTCGTAAAAAGCTTCGTCGGCGTAGTGCGCCACCAAAACAACAACCAAGCCCAACTCATCAGTTACTCCAGACAGACCCAAAGAAGAGGAGGCAAAAAACAAGGGCGCGCGCGCTTCGAGAAGACCGAAGAGCGACAGCAGCAGCAGCAGCCGCAGCCGCAGCAGCAGCAGCAGCAGCGCCGGGGAGAAAACTAACAGTCTTGTCCCGCACGGCCAAAATAGGCACCAGGAAACGTGCTTCCCACTCGATGCCGCCGGAAAAAAAGCCTTCACCTCCTAGAGAAATAGCATAACACCCAGCCCCTACCGATCTGCGCCTGACCGCAAGCGGAGGGGGGGAAGGGGGGGGGGGGTGACATCACGACTGCCTGGCAACAACGGCTACAACAATGCTTTCCTAAATTCTTGACAGGAAGGACAACGTCAACGCACCGTCCGCGTACAGGCCTCAGGAACCAAAAACGGCGTGCTTGAATGTGCGAGCTTAACAAAGCCGAGTCTTTTCACACAGGACTGGCATGCACAACAGTATAATGGCCGCTGCCGAACCAATCGATACTACCCCCTCTATAACTCAGACAAAACCAAAGCAGAGCTAGGCCAGAGGCCGGGCCAGGAAAGACGAAACAAGGAAAACATTCGATTGTAGGAACATTCTAGAAGCATGAAAGGCGGGAGGGAGGCACCCAGAAGAAGAGTCGTCAACACCCGACGCCCGGTCTCAGAAGGCGCGTCCCGCACAGCTTGAGCTGGGACAACCCCTTGCAGTTGTGGAAGAACATGTGCTTCTTTCGGGTCTTGACCGTGATCTGGGTGCGGGCGCACAGGCAGTCCCACAGGTGGGACGTGCGAAGGTTGTACATCTCCACCATCTCGCGGTCCACCTTCGTACACGGCAGACGACAGGGGGGGGGGGGGGGGGAAAAACTTGGGGGTAGGGGCTCCCTGCCGGTTGGGATGGGCTGGCCTCTCCACCAAACCAAAAACCGCGGGGGGGGAAAATAAAAAAACAACGTACGGGGATCCCAACCCCCTCCTGTTCCCCCCTTGGGGAACTTGGAAAAAAAACACCCCCTTCCTAAATGCCCGGGGGCTTAAAA